GTGAAGATAGTAGAGGACGAACCAGAGCTGCACATGGTGGTATGGAGGGGGAAGAGGACAGGGGAAGAAGATAGTGTTGGCAGTGGGGCTTGGGTAAGTGGTTCTGTTCTGAGTGACTCCCATCTGCCAAGATAGGATTCCCTGCACAATGACCTTCACAGGAGTGCCAAGTGTGGCTGTCAGCAGCAGTAGATACGCAATGCAATGCAATGCAATGCAATGCAATGCAATGCAATGCAGATACAGTGAAGGCAATCTCGAGAGTGCATGAGGCACTGTAATTGGGGGGGGGAATCAAAGAAGGGCCTACGCAAGAAGGAAAGCCTATTGGAGCACAGACGAAAGGAGACTGTGTACCTAGTCTCTACCAGTGCATTACTACTGACGGCAACTGCCCTTGTCATGCGCAACATTCTGCTTGTGGGACCTGGTCTCTACCTTTCCTACCCCTCCGCCACATCTTCCCAACCCACCCCAACCCAACCCAACAGCACCCCCCTCCCCCGTCCCCTCTTCCCCACATCCCCCCGCCATCCCCTGTAACCCACCCACCTTGTCAGCAGCCGCGGTGTGCTTGCGGGAGCGGGCGTCTAGCAGCGCAGGCCAGGACGCCAGTTCCTTCATGCGCCACCGCTTCACCACTCGCGATATGCCCCCCAGCTCCGCTGTCAGGGGCCAGGGAAAGGGAAAGAAAGTGGAGGAAAGAGAGGGAAAGAGAGGGGTGAAGAGGGAAAGGAAGAGGAGGAAAGAGAGGGAAAGAAAGAGGAGGAAAGAGGAGGAAAGAGGAGGAAAGAGAGCAAGGGCCAAAGGGTACCGTACCCAAGGGTGGAAGTGAGTAGAGATAAGAAAGGCTCAAATGCAGGGAGCTGTGTCAACGCAGCGGGAATTGTTGAAAAAGAAGGGAAGAGGAAGGGAGGGGGATGTCGGGGACAAGGTAGGGTGATAATCAGGCAGGAAGGAGGGGAGGGGAGGGTGAGGTTGGGCTTACGTGCAATGGAGACCCGGGCTGCTGCATGCTCCTGCCATATCTGTGCCTTGGTTAGAAGCAGCTCCATTCCTACCAATGCCTGTAGAGCCAATCCGACAGTAAGCACAAATAGCTTAGCTTACGCCCATAATGGGCAAGGTTCCAATGCTTATAGTAATCTTAAACCAGGGAAAAAACAGAGCGGACGCAAAGCTACGAAAGATCAAAGAAGTACCAACGCGGATGGGGGGATTAGCGGACCTTGAGGGGAGGCGTGGTGTGTGGGAGGGCGAGCAGGCGAGCGGCAATCTGCACGAGTGTGGTCAGGAGGGGGTTGTCTGGCCACTCTTCTAGCAGCTGCTGCAGGCGCTGTAAGAGCGCTTGCAGCGGTGGGAGCATGAGCGCCAGCTCTGATGGCGATGCCACCTGTGGGTGGACGCAAACGGGAGTGGGTGGCATGTGGTGTGTGACTCTAGAGAATTCTCAAAGGCGCTGTAAGAGAGCATGCAGTGGTTGGAGCATGAGCGCCAGCTCTGACGGTGATGCCACCTGTGGCGAGGGGAGGAATGGGTGGGGTGTGGCGTGTGCGGGGGGTGGTAGAGACAGGCAGGCAGGGGAGTTGTTGCCTGGGATTTTGGGAATGAAGGACGGGAGAGGCTCAAACCAAGCAACCACATTGCTTAAGAGATAACTTCACTAGCAACTGATCTCAGCAGTGGATGGGGAGGAGGCAAGAAATGACCAAATAAGACCAAAGGAGACCAAAGAAGAACGGGAGAGAGACCTTTCTCAGGTCGACAGGGATGGCCCGTTGCTCCGCTGCCCCCGGTGCAGGTGTGACAGAAGCAGGTGTGCTTGCAGCGGTGGTGGGCGCTGTGGAGAGCTCGTTAGCAGCGGAGCAGAGGCGGAAGAAGTGAGCCTCGGATGTTGCCTCGTCCACTGAGCAGGGCAAAATCCCGTCCGTGACTGATGGGGCACAGGGGGCAGAGGGTGGAAAGCAACAAGTACGAATGTTGGTTAGAGCAAGGAAAACAACAGCACTGCAGGCAGCACTGATAAGAAAGCCAATAGACGAATGAGTAGAAGAGAGGAGTCAGAAGGAAGACAGGGTACCTCTGAGGATGTGAGTTGCGGTGTCATATGCAGCTGTGAAGCCAGCGCAGGGAAGAGCAGGAGGGGTGGCACAAGTGTGTGGCGTGAGGTCCTCTGAGGGGGAGAAGAGGCGGCAGTGCAGGTCCACCAGCTCTGATGTGAGCCCACCCTCCTCCTTGAGAGCTCTCCACACGATCGCCATGCCCTTGCCACCCCTGCTCTCCTCTTCCTCCTCTTCCTTCTCCTGCTGCTCCCGCTCCTCCTCCTGCTTCTTGGCCCGGGCTGCCCTAGCCTGGTGAGGGTGAAGGGAAGAATGGTTGGGAGGGGAATAACGGGACGAGACAGGCAGGCCGGCACGAAGAGAGAGGGATGGAGGGGTGAGGGTAGGTAGGCAGGCCAGGACATGCACAGATCGCATCTGTATGTGCTGCCGTAGATGTGGTCAGGTACAGATGCGCATGCACAAGCACGCATGCAGTGCTCTACGCGTGGTAGATGCGAAAAACGGCACTCACATCGTCCTCGTCAGCATGCACATGCTCCTTGATGCCCAGGTCAGCAAAGTGTGTGTGCGAATAGGGCACCATCGGTCACAGATTTGAAGCTTCAAGAATAATAATTATAAGCCACTCACATCGTCCTCGTCAGCATGCACGTGCTCCTTGACGTCCAAATCAGCAAAGTGGTCTGAGAGCGTGGGGAACATGGCCCGATACTCCTCGTCCTCCACCTTTTGAGGCGCCACAAAAGCAAGGAATTAAGGGGGGCACTCACATCATCCTCGTCAGCATGAACATGCTCTTTGACATCCAGGTCAGCAAAGTGGTCAGAGAGCGTGGGGAACATGGCGCGGTACTCCTCCTCCTCCGCCTCTGCATCGTCTTCCTCCAACTCCAAAGTGGTCGTGGTGCTGCTGCTGCGCTGCTTGTACAGCTGCTCCGCCTCTGCCTGCTTCTCCCGCTCCTTGTCTCGCATCTCGGACCAGATGTCCACGAATGCTGCAAAGGATTGCTCTAGGACCTGCAGAGCCTCAGGGCCTGTGGCAGGCGAGTAGAGTGCTGCTGGGGTGACATCGTCTTTTACTGCAAAGAGTGCAGCACGCAGCAGCGACACCACCGCCACTGATGCCGTCACCTGCACAGGTGGAGAGAAAGCAGTGAAGTTGCGATGACAAGTTGTGGTCAAGAGATCTCTAGAGCGAGAACCGGCAGCGTCCAGCAAAACAGAAACCCAATTCAACCACACAAAATGTTTCACAGGATACTGGGAGTGCAAATTTAACTGGAAGGAAGGAGCAACAGAAAACTGCAAAAGAGCTCAATGACGTAGTCCCTTTGAGTAAGGTGGGTCAGACGGCGGGAAAGCTGACTCGTTGCCAAAAAAGCAAAGGTGGTTAGGCGCTTGCGCTTTTGCGTACCTCTTTCTCCTGGTTGCTGCCACCTCCTCCCATGCTGAACCTGCTGGCGCGGGCATGCAGTGCTGCAAACACGTCCTTGTGCAGAAACAGAGCCGCACGGGAGGAGGAAGCAACAGATGCTGCTGCTGCTGCTGCTGCTGCTGGCTGGTCTGTTTCACTGCTGGTGATGGTGCTGGAGGCGTTGGTCGTTAGGGTCGGTGTGGGTGGTTGAGTTTGAGTAGGAATGGAAATGGCCCGAGGGAAGGAGAGGAGAGACTTGGTGACAGCCTGTGAAGGAAGAGATGTCAACGAGAGGTTGGAGGAGAAAGGGAGTGGGGGAGGACGGATAGTGGCAATGGTTGCATGAGAAAAGGGAGATACACACAGATCATACAAACGATAGCAGAGGGCAATGCTGGTGCTGAAAGGAATGAAGATAGAATCGGAAGCGTGGGAGATAACGGGCAGAAAGACGAACAAAGGCGACGAACGGAGCAAGGGCGGGCCTCGGGTGCATGCATGCAAGGCAAACAAGGTAAAAGAGATGCGCTCGATCAAAGCATATACCGCGAGAGCCCCGTCGGTGGTTTGAAGGGCGGAGGAGAGGGCAGCGCAGAGCAGCAGCGATGCGCCGTGCACCATCTCATAGGCCGCCAGCTGGCACGGCTGCACCACGTCCCTCAGCAGCGGGAAGCTGCGAGGAAGGCGCTGAGCGAACGCTGCCACCGACGACTGCAGGAAGAGGTAGGTGGTGAAGTTGAGATAAGGCAATGGGGAAAGAGGGGGAGGCGAGAGAGGGGATGGTGGGGGTGGGGGGGGAGGGGCCAGCACATCTTATGCGAATGCGACCTCAGCGCAAAATACGCATACATGAGCATGCAAGGTGTGTTCATGCACGTACACACACACACCCATGGCCCAACCCAATCCCACCACCACTCATAACCCACCCACCACAACCCCTCGCCATTCGACCATTTGCTCACGCACCTTCCAAGCGGACACATGAGACAGCAGATTCGCCAGCTCCAGGTCAGATACTCGCACAGGCGCTTGCACTTGCCCGCCCGAACCAGCAGCCACCACCGCCATGCACTGCCGAACGATGCCGCCCACGCGCTCCACGCCTGCTGTCCATGTGAGGAAGCGCGAGACTTCCTGGAAGAAGGCCGGGTAGGGCGAGGGCTCTGGGCGAGCCACGGACTGGGGGTGGAGTGGTAGGGTGCATAGAGGGGGAAGAGTGGGTTGGGGCATGGAGCGACGGGATGGGGAGTGAGGGTGGGAGGTTAGAAGTTTCACAACGCCAAGGGGTGTAAGTCAAGATCGAAAATAAAAGAAACCCGGAAAGAAAAAGGTGGTATATGAACGCGACCTGTGTCTAAGAAATCCTCGTGCAAAGCACCAGGACTGACAAAGGACGAGAAGATGATGACATGCATCTGCATACATGGAGTACGGTCGACAGTGTCGTACGGTCGACAGTGTCAATTCGACACAACGAGAGAGCGACAGCAGCAGCACTTTGCGGCACAACACGGCACACACCTTGGCGCGTGCCGCCCACAGCTTCCTGGAAACCTCCTCCAGCTGCAGGGCGATTGCCTGTGCGGCCCTGTGGTGGTGTGTGATGCCGTCCGTGCCCACTGCTGCCAGCCACTCGTGCAGCTGCGGTGGGGGAGGGAAGGGCACGTGAGAGTGGAGGGTGAGTGGGTGGAGTGGAATGGAGTGCACAGTGATTGCCTGTGCGGTCCTGTGGTGGTGTGTGATGCCGTCCGTGCCCACTGCTGCCAGCCACTCGTGCAGCTGCGGTAGGGTGGGGAGGGTAAGCGAGAGTGGAGGGTGGGTTGAATACAGAGTGGAGGGTGGATGGAATGGATTGAAGAGTGATGAGTTGGAACAGAGGGCCACATGGGAAGATTCTTGAACAGGGAAAACGGCAAAGTGAGTCAGTTGATAACGAAAGTGCTGGAATGGCAACAGCGTGGCAGGGTTAGCAGCAGCCCGTGACTTTAACACTTCATCTTTTTTAACACAAGCAGTTGTGGTACAAGTGCCATGCGCCCCAGTTGGAGAAGCAGGAAAAGGAGAAGAACCAAGACTAGAGGAGCTGGAGCAGGAATCTCTTGGTTCGAAGCGACGTGCTTTCGGAACAACGAGCAGGAGGAGTCCCTCCCGCAACGACACAATGTGCTGCTTTACGTGGCACTTCGAAAATCTAAACAGGAGTCTGCCTCTCTCCACTGACCTTGAGTTGAAGGGAAAGGTCGGTGTGCTGCTGCTCCAAGTGCGAGAGCGCATGGCGGTACTTGGACGTGGGGTCCACTCCCCCCGGGGGAAGAAGCAGGTGCAGGCGCAGACAGCCCACTCGCAGCCAGGCACTGCCTAAATGAGCTAGGGCCTCTGGTGGGGGAGAGATGGAGATGGAGGCGGGAGGGGTGACATGTGGGGTGAGATGAGATTGCATGGGGCTCGAGACGAGGGGTTGAAATGCGGCAGAATGATATGAAGTTGGAGCAGAAACACGCGGGAAAACTGCTCCTCGATATTGGAACAGGAACTTAACAGAAAGTGTGACAGAGACATATATTGCTCAACAAGGGAGGCCCCTTAGGGTACTCATCAAAAGCAGGACCTATCGCAAGCAGCTAAGTGTCAATTACCTGAAGAATCGGGCTGAAGCAGCCCCTGCGTGTGTGGCATCTCCCTGGCGCGGAGAGCGTCAGTGAGGGAGGAGAGTGCGGGCAGCAGCAGGTGGGAGGAAAAGAGGGCGAGAGGGTGTGGACAGGTGGAGGCGAGGAGGCGATGAAGAGGCTCCATGTCATGTGCTGCGAGCTGGAGAGAAGGGGTGCGGAGCGGAGGGAAGAGAAGGGGAGCGGTGGGGAGAGAAGAGGTCCGTTGTCAAGGAATGCAGGGGAGGAGAGAGGCAGGGGAGGGGGATGCGGAAGGGGAGAGGAGGGAAATACGAGAGAAAAGTTAGGGAGTAAGGAGAGAGGAAGATGCCAAGCGAAGGGGAGAGCACATTGGACTGTGATGCGAGCAGGTGAAATGGGAGCTTGTCTGGTGCGGAATAATAACGAAGAGGCAAGTCACGGGAGGGGACTGGAACAGCGAGAAAGACCACGGGTGGTGCAGAAACGGGAGCGACGGCCGCAAACTGAAAAAAGGCTGGAAATACATAAGGGCTGAAAAAAGGGCTGCAAATACATAGAGGCAGAGCCCGCTTTTGAGGAAGGCCAAAGCCAGTCAGCCAAGATAGAGTCTGTACAAGCGAACCTTGTGGCTTTTGAATGCGATGGAGGAACGAGAGTGAGCGAGCGAGCGACGGGGGGGGGGGTTACAAGCTGAATAGTGAGTCGAATAAAAAACACGCACACACCTTGTGGCCCTTGAATGTGATGGAGGAGAGCTCGTGAGCGAGCGACGGGCGGAGGGACTCTGGGAAGCAGGCAGTGTGGGCAGCTATGATCTGCAGTAGGAGAGTGGAGCGAGAGGTAGGGTGCGCGGGAGGTTTGAGACAACCAAGATGGAAGGAGAGGGGTTAAGATGTTGACGAAATGGAGGCGGGAAATCGCAAGGAGTAGAGTAGTATATCAGGGCAAGAAAACAGTAGGTTGGCTTGAAACATCAGAGCAAGAGATTTTTTTAGGTTGGCTTGTGGCACAGCAGAACAGTAATTGCTGCAGGCTACAGCACCTGAGAAAGCGCTGCCACAGCAAGGGAGACGTGCTGGTCTAGGCGAGGGGAGGCAGGAGCACTGCAGAGCGCCCCCACCCCAGCCACTGCTAGCAGCAGCTGCCCCCGCTGCACCTGACAATCCGCCACTGTCGCCCCTCCGCCCCCCCATGGCCCCCCTGCTGCTCCCCCCATGTCCGCTCTGGGGGGAGGGGGAAGGAGGGATGGAAGAGTGGGAAAGGAGATTAGGGAAGTGGACGGTGGAGAGGGGGAGACAAAAGATGGAGGGAGAGGAGAGGAGAAAGCGAGCAGGGCAGCAAAGAGTCAATGGGAAGTGAGGAGGAGTGGGAGTGGGAAAGTGAGTGAGTGTGAGAGAGGGCGGGATGTTGGGAGAACGAGGAGTGGGCAAGGACATGGAAAGGGAGGAGCATATAAAACAGCATGGGCACGGGAATGCATATGGAGGGCGCCTATGGGTATGGGTGGGTGGGTGAGTGTGCCTCACCATCCCATCAACTTATCAGGGTTGAGCATTCAAAAGAAAGAGTCAAGAGGCTCACATGAGAGAGGCAGAGAGAAGAGAGAGCGAGGCCTGGAAGAAGCGAGCAGAGCCTGATGTGGCTGTCCATGTGAGGGGCTGGAGGGGGAGAGGGGACAACAGGGGCCAGACCAGATCATGAGATGATGCAGGAGAGCAGCCTGCTATTGCTTTGCAGCAGTCGCAGGCTGCTTGACAGACACAGCAGGACTCTCTCCCCCACAACTGCGGTTTCCCAATGCCTATCCTGTTCCTCCGCTGCTCAAGTTTGTTACCATTGCTAGCTACCTGCTACCTCTAATGAGGCTCAACTCCAAACGAGGCACACCTTGAGAGAGTCCGTCATCCGATCCAACCAATTATCAATCCATCCATCCATAATCCATTCACCCGTGTAATAAGTAAACTTTTGAGTCGACTAAAAAAGCATCCATCCATGATCCATTCACTTGTGCCATCTCTCATCCCAAGCACTCCTGCCATCATTACCTCTGCTGCAGCTGGTCCCACGTCAGCACCCTTGCCTGCCCGCTTCCCCAGTGGAAGCAGCGGCAGGCGCCAGGTGGCGGACTCCCATTGGCTCTCGAGCAGGCGCAGTTGCAGGTCGTGCAGCAGACAGCGCAGCGCGAGGGCAAGCTCGTCTGCACCGGGGGAAGGGAGTGGAGAGGACGAGGGGAGGACGAGGGGCGGGAGAGTGGAGGAGAGAAAGGAGGGAAGGAGGGGAGGAAGGGGAGTCGGGGCGAGGTGGAGTGGACTGTAAGAGTACTCTTACATACTTGACGCATGTAACCATCTTTGCACTACCTTACAGGAACGGAAAAGGAAGCGCGGAGCTTGTCCAAGAGGGAAACAGGTAGTGCAAAGATGGGTACATACGTAAAGGTAGAGGTGATACAACGAGGCCTGACTTAAACCGGCAAGAAAGGAGTACGTACGAGTACGACAAGCAACCAATATGGCAGGAACGGAACGACAGCATAAGGAGGGCGACCAAGCAAGAGGTGGAAACGACTGAGGAGATGAGGAAAGGGGGAGCAATGCTGGTATGGACTGAACTGAAGAAGCAGTAAGGTACCTGGAAGGAAGGAGGAGGGCGGGACCCTTTGGATCCACAGCAGCTGCTGGAATGGAAGCAGCTGGGTAGGAGCGCGGGAGGACTCTAGCAGGAGCCTTTGAAAGAGAGAGGTGACTGCTGCAGAGGAGGAGGCCTGGTGGTTGGAGAAATGGGTGGGGAAAAGGGCAGGGATGGAGGAAGCGGGAGAGAACGGGGAGGGAAGTGTCAAGGGAGGAAAGGTGGAGGGGGAAAGCTCATGGTAGTGCAAGTGAACAAGTGGAACCAGCATCATGCGTGTAGGGAGATACATTGAATGAGTCATGCAATGGCAGTGGGCAGTATGCAATGGCCTATGAGTCAGCAAGTATGCCCTGCAATGTAGGTACAATGGTGCAATGCACCTTTTGCCTTGATGAAATGAACTGTACATTGGTGCACACACCCACCCCCACACCTACACCACCCCCACACCCACACACGCACACCTACCCGCCTGCCCGCACGCACAGTCATGCACACAGTAAACACTCGCAACACCGTCGAGCGAACAAACCCACCTGGCTCAGGGCCATCAATGACAGCTTGCCATCTGTCCCCGGGAGGAGCAGTGGCGCGAGGCGGGCCACAAGCGAGGAGGCGAGGAGATGGGAGGAGGTGGAGAGGAGAGGCAGAACCGCCAGCCACAGCTGCCGCACCCCAGGCCACCTCATGAGCGCACTTGAGAAGAGACGCGCAGGAGGAGGCGGGGCGAAGGCAGCTGGCTCATCGGCTGATAGCTCTGAAAGGGAAGCAGCAGCTGTTGCGGCTGTGGTGGCGGCGGCGGTGGTGGTGGTTGTTGTGGTGCGAGGGAGGGTGGGAATGAGGTCACAAGGGCCTAGGGGTTGAGAGGCAACTGCCCTGGCCTGCTGTGCTTCCTCTTGTAGTGCCTGTTGTGAAAGAAGAACACAAAACAGGAGGAGATTGAAGATCCAGCGATATTGAGGGAATTAGGTGGAAAAGATGGTTCTTGGAAGGATTCAGGGTTGGCGACAAACACAAAAATCACAGTGAAAGAAGAAGGCGAGCACATAACGAACGTACAACAACAGATAAATTATTGCAAAGCAAGCAAACTCGATAACAGGAAATGGAGTGGACCATGAAATCCGGGTGTATAGAGACGAACCATCATGAGATCAGCCGCAGTGGTATCTGCATCATCTGGGCTGTAATTACTGCTGCTGCGTGTGTGTCTGCCAGCGTGTGTGGCCATGCCTCGCTGTCGCATTGTGATTTGTCGCAGAAGCCCTAGCGCCTCCACCGCTCTGCGCCGCAAGGACGGGTCCACAGCCATGGGCCACGTGGCAGACTCCCATTGGTCTGGAGGGGGGCAGAAAATTGGGATCAATTGATGGTCAGTCACCCAGATAAGTACAGAAATTCTGCAAGCGCAAAGAGCATTGACGCGCATACACACACACACACACATACACACATACCATCGGCCTTGAAGCTCTCCACCTCCCCGTGCCCTGTTCCTGCGGTGGGCGCAGGAGCGAGCACCCACGAGTCCACCACAGAGGCAAGAGCCGCATCCTTTTGCAGCACTGCCAGGGACGCAGGCAGCAGCGGGTGCCCTGCCTCCTTCCATAGGGACCTCTTCCCCATCCTGTCCTGCTCTGTGCTGGCTGCTGCTGACACAGCTTGCTCAGCTAGTAGAGACGCAAGGAGAGCGGGGTGAGGGTGAGCACTAGCAGCAGTGGTTGCTGCTGTGGTGGCAAGGGTTGCTTGTTGTGGGGCGATGGGGGACGCAAAGGCGCTGTTGAGGGATGCCATGGTGGTGCATAGTTGCTGCCAGGCCTGCCAGTGGTTGACACATTGAGAAGGGAGAGAGAGCAAAAGCGAGTGAGAAATTAGGGGTTTGAGAGAAAGTGGGCAGGCCAAGAGAAGGTTGGTTGGGAGATACGTTTGCGGGATCAGAAAAGAAAACAGACGTGAATAAGAGGAAAAGCAGCAGCGGTGACATGAGAGATATGGGGGGGACGAGGGATGAGGGATGATGGAAAGCAAAATTGTCCACAAGGGTTTGAGAAAAAAAATGAGAAAATCTGCAGAGAAGCGGAAGGAAAACAATTGAAGGGAAGGAAGGCACAATCATGCCTTCGAGCATTGAATTCTCACCATTTCAACAGCCCGCACAGCTGCTAGCTCATCATCTGCCTTTCCTGATACCGCTGCCGCCGCCGCCGACGCTGCTGCTGCTGCTCTAGCTGCAGCCTTGGCCATGCGAAGAGCAGCAGAGCACAGCTTGTGCCACACAAAGACGAGGCGGTCAAACGGAACTGCTGTCTGCAGCACCCGCACACACTCCCACAGCGACTCATGCCACTCCATCACCACTCCAAACGCGGATAAAAATGCCTCCTCTCCCTCCACCCCCTTTAATTTTCCCGCTTCCTCTGGTCCCTGTCCTTTCGCCGCTACCGCAGCCCACAGCGCATGAGCGAGCGGGGGAGGGCAATCCAGCAGTGCTGTTTCCACCTGGCGAAGAGCAGAGAGGAAGGGAGCCACTAGCAACAGACCCCTAGACCTTCCATCCCCTCCTCCACTCGCATTATTGGCTGCTGTTACTGATGCTGCAAGTATCTGGTTCGCCCTCTGTTGTAGTTCAGGCACACCGGAGAAATGCAGGAGAGAGCAGCCAAACGCAGTTGACTGTGCGGAAGCTTCCTGGGCCAGCAGCGCCCTCTGGCTCATTTCGTCCTCTAGTGACCACTGTAACAGGCACCGGCGGAGCGCTCTCACTCTATTGGCTGCAGAAGACGCATTTTGCCACAACACTGCAGGCGACACTCCTATTTCACCATCCAGCTGCATAGCGCCGCCTCCTGAACCCACACCCTCGTCCATTCCACTCCCGAACCTCCCAGGCACGCTGTGCAGAGCTGTGCTAGAGGCATCAGCCACCAAAGCGGCCACTTGAGGAGAAACAGATACATCCAGAGGCAAAGAGGCAGCAAGAGGTGCAGGCACGGAGAGAGCAGCGAGCAGCTCTGAGCGTGTGGCTGAGAGGTCGGAGAGACAGCGGTGCAGGGGTAGGGAAGACAGGGAGTCGATCAGTCGATTGAGCTCTGCACCCGCTGCTGTTGCAGTGTTGCTGGTGCCAGTAGCAGCGGCAGCAGGGCCAGAGGAGTGTGAGCGAGCGAGAGACAGGCGGAGATTCAGGTCTTCAAGGGACATAATCCGATCTAGAAACAGCTCCAGTAGCAGACGCAGCAGCACTGATCCCCGTGCATGTGCACGTGCCGCCGACACACCTGCTGCAGCCACCATAGCGCTAGCTTCGTTTTCCTGGTCCTTGCCTTGTTGAGATAGCACGGCTAGACATGACGCGGGCAGCCATAGCCGCACCTGTGCTGGCAGCTGCAAGGCCCAATCACGCGCCGCCACGTGGCGCGTGCCGATTGGAAGGTCTTGCCGGGAGAGGATTCTGTCCCAATGGGAGAGCAGCTCTGAGGAGGTGAGTTGGCCGAGAATGGCAATGAGCGGGGATATGTCAGCATGCAGGCGAGACGGCATGGTGTGGAGTATGGCTAGTGGTAGGGGCAGTGGTGCCATGGGCCAGCCACCAGGCAGGACGAGAGAGGCAGAGTCGAAGGGGGGGACGGGAGTAGGGGAGAGTGAGGCAGTGTTTGTGGTAGCACCAGCAGCATCGCCAGCACCACCACCAGCAGCACCATCAACTGGAACAGGGTCAGGGGCATCACAAGCCCATCTCAGAGCGTCTCGAATGACCCGGCCGGCCTGCTCCCTCCGCTCCTCATCCTGCAATCGCCGCACAAACGTCTGGTCCCATGCTGTCACCAGAGCCACCGCCACAGGTTTTCCCCGAGTCACCAGCTCGATCAACAGGCGCAGCAGGTGATTCACTTCCCTTAGTGTGGGGCACGCCCCGTAGTTCTGAGACGCCTCTACTGCTGCTGCCACTGCTGCTGGCGGCATGGTTGCCTCTGCTGCTACTGCTGCTGCTTCTGCTCCTGCTGCTGTTTCTGACCCCTTTCTCCCCCCACCTACAATGCCTCCACCAGGAAGCTTCCACGTGGCAGCCAGTGATTGGATGCGCAGAAGGGCAAGGAGAATGCAGGCCACCAACCGAGGGCCAGCGATCCCTGATCTGATGATCAGATGGACGGTTGAGATGAGCTTCTCAGGCAGGCGCTGGTGACGACCGGCGATCCAAGCGGAAGGATCCAAAAGAGAGAGAATCTCAACCGCTGGATCCTTCTCCTCCCCACTCCCTGCTCCTTCCCGGCACGGGTCCCCATCCTGCCTGCCAGTGCTCACGCCCACCTCACCCCTTTGAATCTTTATATGGGCGTGTTCTCCCAGCCCTCCTTCCATCCCGGCAGAGCCATCCCCAAACCCTGAATCCACCACCACTCGATCCAACAAACCATGGCCCCCCGCACTAGCACCTGCCACAGCAGAAACCTCCGACCCAAAAGAACCAGCGCGAGGAGCCGGAAGCAGCGGCGGCACGGCAGGGCAGGGCCAGTCCGGGGGCATGAGGAAAATCTCAACTCCACGGTTGCGCATGGCGCGGGAGACCTCGCCGTAGTGCGGGTCGAGGCAGAGGAAGAGGCGGAAGTGAGGGTGCGGGCGCAGCAGCACAGGCTTGCCGTCCACCAAGCCCCGCTCGTTCACCAGCAGGTGCCCGTGTGGCTCCACTAGCGGGTTCAGACGATCCAGTACCTGCGGTGGAGGGCGGTGGGGTGGGGTGGGGTAGGGTGGGGTGGGGTGGGGTGGGGGAAAAGAGGCGGAAGTGAGGGTGCGGGCGCAGCAGCACGGGCTTGCCGTCCACCAGGCCCCGCTCGTTCACCAGCAGGTGCCCGTGTGGCTCCACCAGGGGGTTCAGCCAATCCAGTACCTGCGGTGGGGTAGGGTGGGGTGGGTGGGGTGGGTGGGGTGGGGTCCGGAGGAAGTGGCGGGTGGGGAGGGAGCAGATTTGTGATGTCAAATAGGGATGCTCGTCGTCAGCAGGGCAGAAGGATTCAGAAAAGCAGAAAATAACAGTTGCAATCCACCCCCTCTCTCCTTCACCAGCATCAGAAGTTACCAATTAGGACAGCAATGGGTATTGTTTAAAGACAAACCATCTATTGCCAAATCTTGCAACACACCTATTGCCACTCCATCTGGGCCTAAGGCTCTTCACCCACATTGCAAATCTGAATTCCACTTAATGTTACAACTTGCATGTCAGGTTGCATTTACGCGTCACAGATGGACTCACCGAGGGGTTGCAGAAGTTGGCGTTATCAAGCACAGCCCAGTCGCCCTGCACAACTGCTTCCACCAGCGGCCCCTCCACCCACTCAAAGTGCCCTGCTGCCCGCGCCATGCCCTCCTCCTCACACACCCCCCGCGCCTCTCTCACTGCTCCTGCTAGGCTGTCTGCTGCAGCCACCAAAATGGACACAGGGCCGTTTGCTTTCGCCATGTCTCCTCCTCCTCCTGATTCTGCTGCTGCTACTGTTGCTGCATCCCCTTCTTCCTCCACTTCTTCCCCTTCTTCCATTTCCTCTCCTCCATCCTTCCCTGCCTCATCTTCACTTCTCTCATCTCCCCTCCTCCCTTCACCCCCACATGCTGCTCCCTCTAATCCCACCAGCATGCTCCGGGCCTTCCCAACTATCCTCAGCAGCCAATCAAACTGCGCCAACTGTGCAGCAAGAGTTTCCTTCGCCTGAAGGGCCATACCACTTGCATCACAAGCAGCGGCATCAGCACTGCCCGCTCCTCTCCCTCCTCCACTCTCACTCCCTCCTTCCTCTCCTCCTTCGGCCTTGTCTGTCTTACCCAAATTCAGCCCATCCCTCTCCTTCGCCTGCTGCCAGTACTGCCACCATTCACTGGTCAATACCCCCACCTCACTCACCATCTCGCCACCACCACCACCAACACCACCACCACCACTACCAGCACCGCTAGCAAGCACGGCAGCAGCCACCTCCCTCACAAGCCCCTCCACCCGCCTCTCCACCTCCCCCAGTTGGCGCCTGCCATCCCTCTGCTCAAAACACCCCAGCAGGTCAGTTGTATCCGTAGCTGACGTCAGCGGCATCTCCCGCAGCCGCCTCCCTGCCAGCTGTGCCAGCTGGCGGACGAGAGAGGTTTTGCCCGAGGCTGCGGGCCCCACGAGAATCACCATCCAGTTGTGTGCTACAGCCGCTACAGCCGACTCGAGCGCGGAGGCAGAGGCGGGGAGGAGGTGGAGCGAGGAGGACAGGAGCATGGCAGAGGAAGAAGAGGGTGTTGGTGCAGGTTGGGAAGGGGAGGAGGAGGAGGACGAGGAGGAGGGGGCTGCGCAAAGGGAGGCTCTTGGGAGGGAAGCGTTGCCTATGCGGAGGAGAGTGGGGGTGAGGGAGATGGAGGGGTGGGGGTCGAAGGGCAGAGGGTGGCCGAATACAGAGAGGAACAGCTGGGCCACAAAGCGCCGCTCACTCGCTGACCTCAACCGCTGAATGTAGAGCAGATTCACGAACCGCCCCGGATGCTGCACCTGCTGGCGCCACTGCCCCTGCCGCTGCAACTGCTGGTTCTTTCCCTCCCCACCTTCCCCCCCCTCCTCCTCCCGCTCTTTGCCCCCCTCCTGTTCCTGTTTCCCTGCTGCTCCCGGAGAGCATATGAGCTCGCACCAGCGCAGCACATCTCGCAGGTTGAACTCCCAGAGGGGTCCCCCGGCGCCGCTAGCAGCCATGCCGAAGGAGGAGGTGCGGGAGAGGGCGTGCGTGCGCAGCTGTGTGTTGAAATCCACCATTTTGTGGAGTAGAGAGAGGGGCACTGATGGGAAGAGCGCTGATGCGATGAATATGAAATCGTCTGACTCCAGGGCTTGCACGTACACCTGTGGTGTTGTGTGCACGCAGACAGACACAGATACAGACAGTCACAGATGCAAACGCACCCAAGCATTAGATGAAATCGTCAGACTTGAGGGCTTGCATGTACACCTGTGATGTGGAGGTTGCCCTTATGTAAGGAGAACGGCCGCAAGTGCCTGCTTTGGCTGATTTACACCTGAGAGGATCCTAGGACAGAAAGACCTGCTTCTCGACCTATTCACGCTAATCAGAGAAGCAAAACAGGTGGAGCAGGCAGCAGCAGTAGCCGCGGCAGAGGCGGTAACGGCAGTGGTGGCGGAGGCGGCAGCAGCACCACCACCCAGGCAACCCACCTTGGAGAAGCGATTGAGGAAGGACTTCGGAAGGCCCTTGCGGCCCCCGCCCTGCTGCAGGGGGTTCTGAGCCGCAAAGATGCGGAAGGAGGGCGGGCAGTGGAAGGTGCGGTTGAGGTCGGGCAGAAAGACATCTGCTCGGTGATCCAGGCAGCTGTTGAGTCCCTCCAGGATGGATTGAGACGCCAGGTTCAGCTCGTCTAGCAGCACCCAGTCGCCCGCCTTCAAGGCCTGCGAAAAGTGGTAGAGATGGGTTTGTGGTGGGTGAGGAGAGGGCAAGGAGGGGGAAGGGGGTTGACAGCTGTTGAGCCCCTCTAGAATGGACTGAGACGCCAGGTTAAACTCGTCTAGCAGCTTCCAGGGAGGGGGGGGGGGGGGGAGGGGGGGAGGGAACGGGAGGGAGAGGGGGAGGAAGGGGGACTGGCTGTTGAGACCCTCTCCAGGATGGATAGGGAATGAGAGAAGGAAGCAAGACACGTGGGAAAGAAAAAGAGGAAAGGGAAGCGAGGAGGAGAGAGGGGGAGGGAAAGTGGGAAACTGGAGATATAGGAAGATTGTAGCACAGTACCATGTGTGAACAAGCAAAAAAATCTTTGGGTCGATCGAGCCTATTCTTCTCTGCGTCAAAGGCTCTTACTCAAGGGCAATGGACTTGCAGCCGTCGCACACAGCCACGGACACATGAACAAAGGCATGCAGATACAACAATAGAATGCAGCGGTAGTATTACCGCTGAGACCAATGCGTACCACCGGAGGGCTATAGGGTATATATACAGTACCTGCAGGAAGACCCCGTCGGCCCACCGGAATTCGCCCCCTTTGCCGCCCTCCACTGGCAGGTCTGACCCCAGCAGATCCATCATGTCTGTCTGTGGTGATGTGGCATGGGGTGGGGCGTGTGGGAGGGGCAGAAGCGAGGGATGGTAGGTTTTGAGAGACAGATGGTAGAATGAAAAAGACGGAGGGAGAGATGTAGTGAAGATTGACGGCGGGCGGGCGCAGGGGTGTGGGGAGTCAGGGAGGGGGGGAGGCGGGGGGCCAAGGAGAGTAGGGGCACGGAACAAGGGGGAGGGGGGGAAGGTAGGCAGAGGGGTTGGGGGACGAATTGGGAGTGAGCGGCATTGTGCAAGGGAGATAGAGGAAGGACAAACCTAAAGCATGGGGGCGAACGGAGGGGAAGCAGAAAAAGTTGCGACAGAACGCAAATCTCGTGTAGGGCCCATACCCCCCTACTTCACACAAGCAGGCCTCTCTCCTCCCATCTCAAACCACACAACCCTTGATCCCTGTGCCCCTCCCCTGTGCCCCTGTGACCGTCCATCCCAGTGCCCCTCTGTCCCTGTGACCACCTGTCCCATTTCTCCTCTGTCTCCCTTCCCCTGTGACTGACCTGCTCCGACAGGTTGATTCGCACGAGGCGGTGGCCTGCTGCTGCTGCCAGAGCCGCCACCAGACTGGTCTTGCCCACACCTGGACTGCCCTCCAATAGCACTGCACGGGGGGGTTGAGTGGGTAAGGTGGACGAGGGGGACGAGTTGAGAGGCACCCAGGAAGGGGCGTGCTTTGAACAATAGAGTGGGTCACAGCCTGTTGAAAAGCCTAACAATTACAAGCCTGAACCAGTGCCAAACATGCAGCCTAACGTACGGCACACGCAACGACAAAAAAGCATGCTCGCACGCACACGAGTGCAAAAATCAAGTAGCATCAGACACGCCACACACCCCTACCGATAGCTGCACGGCCGCATGCAGTGCACATGCGAGCGGGCGGCCATCCCTCGTGCATGCAAAGCAAAGCAATGCAATGCAATTGAATGCGCTGAAAGGCAGCGCACCTGGCTTGCGGATCTGCATGGCTCTGAGCAGGCGAACGACATTGGCGTTAGTGGTGGGCGCTGTCAGCTCAAACGGCACCGAAGTGTCTGTGGCACACGGGCCTGGAGGCGTGGAGAAATAAAAAAATTGGGAGGGTGGGAAGAGAGGAGGAGATCAATTTTTAGGCGCCTCAAAAAGGCATGCTGTCAAATGGCACTGATGTGTCGGTGGCACACGGGGCTGGGGGTAAAGACGGGGAGGAAAGGAGGAGACAGGCGAGAGGAGGGGACAATTGGAAAGAGGGGAGAGAGACACAGACAGAGTCGGAGAGTTCACATAGCTAGGGACATTGCAGAGGCAGACAGCCATTGTGGAAAGCAGGGACATAGGAGAGTTGGTTGTTTTACATGAGGGGGCAAGCAAACTAGGAAAGACCAGGAGAAGCCGAGAAAGCATTGCATGTTCACGCCGCGTTTTGGGAAGTCTCAGAAAGCGGAGGGAGAAGCGTTACATGCATATTGCAAACAAACCAGCAAAACGACGAGATGGAACGTGGAGAGAGTGGTTAAAACAATGTGGTCACTGGTCACACCAGGTGCTGCCCAGATGGTTCTTTCAGTTGGCTTAAGACCTATCGAAACAGTACCTCGTGGGATGTAGAAGGGGTAGAAGCCAAACACTCGCTGCACGTCTGTCAGGCTCAGCTTCAGAACAGCGTGAGCGGATGGAGCAGTGGGGTCTGAAGGAGGTGCTTCTGTTATCAGCTTGCTCTGCACGCCCACTTGCATGCCGGCTGCCTTGGCCTCCTGCAACCAGTGGATGGAAGAAATAGGAGCGAAATATAGATACTCTGAATTGAATCCACTCTCTGGAGTGCAGTAGTATCATTCTGCCACTGCCCTTTTGCAAAAGGGGTGAGGTAAATACTTCATATTGGGTTCTTAACAACCCAAAACCCAATGAATACAGAAAAAAAAAAAAAAAAAAAAAAAAAAAAAAAAAAAAAAAAAAAAACACATACAAAAGCGTTCTCGTCCCTCCATGAAGAACAAACACACGCTCGCTCGCTGTTGTTACAGTACCGAGTTCCTTGACTTGGCCTACCGGCGGCAGCAGCTGCAGCAGCAGGTTGAAGCTGCGAGCACGGACAGTCTGAGCCGCGTCCTCTGGCAGCCCTTGACCAATCCCCACGCCATCCAGAAACACCAAGAACGCCCCGTGGAGAAACGCCGTCCACTTGTCTATGCGCACACCTTCGCCTGCTGCGGGCCTTTTCTCCTCCTCGCTGGCTGCGGGTTTCCCCTCGTCCGGTTCATCCTGCTGCTGCTGCTGCTGCTGCTGTGGAGTGAGGTGAGCAGTGGCGTTGACGAAGGCCGCCCAGGAGAGCAGGTCTCGCACTGACAGCACTGTGCCTGCATCGCCCTCGGCTTCAAACCACTGGTGGTGGTGGGAATGGGCGAGGTGGTGGTGGTGGTTGTGGTAGTGTTGGCGGCGGGGGTGAAATCAGGTATTAGAAAATGCACAGAAGCAAGAAGCAACACAGGGAGAAAAAGCCAAACATATGGAGTGGGAAAGAGTAGAGAGGAGGAGATGAAAGGTACAAGAACAGGAGAACGAACAGAGCAAAACGATCCCAACCCAACCATAAGGGGAGGCGCACAATGGAACATAGGCTGTGTGGTTTGCTGAAAGGAGCTTCGCTTGCAAGAAAAGGAAACAAAGAAAAGAGAAGCGCACACCTTGAGAGTAGAGAGGAGAGACATACCTGCCAAAATTTGAGCATGGGGCCCGCAAGATCCGCCAGGTAGGGAGACGGGAAGCTGCACACACGAAGCAACAGAAAGGAGTGACCAAGGCACGGAAACACAACAGCGCCACAACATGTGGCAAGGTTAAGTTAAGTAAAAAAGTGCTGGTGTATGGAAGGGACGGGGAGTGAGGGATGCATTGATCTAGGGTTGAGCAAAAACACGAACACCTGTTCGGTTCGCCTCGAACGTGTTCGAGGCGAACCGAACAGGTATTTTTTTTTGGCTTAAAATGTTCGCCGAACAGTGTTCGATGTTCGCCCGAACACGTTCGTGTTCGGGCCGCTGCTGCAATTTGCCCGCGACGAACACGAACAGTGTTCGAGGTTCGCCCGAACACGCCTTCACAGGCGAACGGCGAACACCATTTTTTGCTCATAGTGTTCGCCGAACCGAACAGTGTTCGGTTCGGCAAACGAAGGTGTTCGTGTAGGGGCGAACACGAACACGTTCGTGTTCGCCACTTGCTCATCCCTACATTGATCTGAGCACACCGCCCCGCACCCATCAGCCTCTCAGTGAACCGATTGTTGTTTAGAAAAATATGACAATGATAATGACAACCACACCATTACACTGATCCGTCCCAGCACCACACTACGTACGCACCGGTCAGCAACGATGGCCGTGAGATCGTCAATGTCCTTGTTGGGCGGCACCCACACCTCAGTGAAGCGGTTGCGCAGCGCAGGGGACAGCTCCTTCTTGCCGTAGTCGCCTCCCGGGTTCATGGTGGCTATGAGGCGGAAGTCTGGGTGTGCCACTATGTGCTCTGCCTCTGGCCCTCCCTTCTCTGCCAGCACCTGTGGGGCGAGAGAGGAGGAGGACATTTAGGGGAGCGGAAAATATGGCATGGGTGGTTAGAGTGTGAAGCGCGTGAGAAGGTAGCATAGCAGCTGGGGAGAACGGGTAAAAAAGGAAATGAAAGGCACGACAGAAGGAAAAAGGGATGTGGCTGTAGCACTCATCCGGTTCCCTTAGCCCAACTGTCATGTCTCACAAGCATTTTGCTCTCATAAACGCCTAATGAATCTCTCTTCATTAACAAACCCCTCTCCGCGTCCTGCTCTCTCACCAGTGTCCGCTTGGTCTCCAGCACGCTGTTAAGCCTCTCTAGCACACTATCATCTGCCAGCGAAATCTCATCCAGCATCACCACATCGCCGCACCGCATGGCGCGCACCAGCGGCCCATCCACCCACTCAAACAGCGCCCTCCAGTGCCCCCCCACCTCCTCCAATTCCTCCAGCAGCCCCTCTAGCTCCTCCAGTGTCTGCTGCGTTGCATCATTCCATCCCGCAGCTACCGTGGCTTCCGCTGCTGCTGCCGCCGCTGCTTTCGCGATCGCTGCAGCCTCTGCCTTGGCAGCCTTTTTCATGGCCTTTTTCCGCTGCTTTTTCGTGGAGACCCTCCCTCCTGCTTCTGCTTCCGCTGCCGCCGCTGCCGCTGCAGCAGCGGTGCCTTCTTCTGTAGCTTTCACTGCAGCAGCTGCACCTGCCTCAGTTGCAGCCTGCTTTTTGGCCTTTAGTCTCGAAACCATTGTGCGGATTGATGCTGCAGTCTTGGGCTCCTGCTCAATCTCCTCTGACAGCTCCTCAAGCCCTGCTAGAAGCTCTGCCTTCAATCCCCCCTCCAATCTGCCGTCCCCTGTCTCTCCATCAAATTCCTTCTTTGCTGCTTCCTCTGCTCCTGCTGCTGCTTCCTCTCGGGGCTCCACGGTAGCTGCCTCTCCAGTGGGCAGAGCAGAGAGCAGGTGCTGTAATTTTCCAGTGGTTACTGCGTACTGCTGCTGCAGAGGCTCTCTGTCCCTTGTAGGGCGATACCCCTGAACGGTTGGAGAGAAAGAAAATGGAGAGTGCGAGGAGAGTGTTGAAAGTGGGTTAAGTTGAGTTGAAACGAGACGAATAGGGAGGGCAAACACGTGCCAGCAGGTTAAAAATATAATAAAGAACAAGAAAGGAAGAGAGGAACACACACACACACACACACGCGCGCGCGCGCGCGCATGCACGCATGCACGCACGCACGCATGCACGCACGCACACACACACACACACACACATACAAAAAAGCAGAATTACAGGCAGGGCAACGAAGCACATACAGCACTGTGAGGGAAAAGCTGGAACGGAAGCATACCCCAATGAAGTCAGAGGCGTCAGAGTGCTGGTGGCAGTTGATAATCCGCAGTGTCTGCCCGCACGCTGCTGCTGCGAGCTGCCCCACGGTCGTCTTCCCCCCGCCCGTCTCCCCCACCAGCAGCACCGGCTCCCCGTGGCGCAGGCAGCGCAGCACGAGGTTAAAGAGGCGCGTCATGGCTCTCGTCCACACGACACTGGGAGGACGGGGGAGATAAGTAAGGGTGGGGCCGGGGAGGGGAATAGGGTGCGGGAAAGGCGAGCGGCACGAGGAAAAGGAGAGGGGTTGGATAGAATGGTGTGAGTGAGACGCAGGCAGCGCAGCACGAGGTTGAAGAGACGTGTCAAGGAAGCAGAGGAACTGCGAGTTAGAAGAAGCATGGACAGGTCACAGGACACATCACACCCACACCCAGGATAGAACCCATCACATCACATGCCCAGGTTCACCGCTCACCTGCCCCCCAGAGATGCAAGGGCTTCCACGTGTGGATCCAGTGGGATGTGAGTGGGCGGGGAGGAGGAGTTGTCAAGGGCATAGCCCCTGTGCGAATCTGACAGCATGCGAGCCAGCTGCTGCTGCGTGGATGGGTCGACCTGAGATGGTGGAGGTGAAGGGGCGATGGAAGATTTGGTTTGAGGGATGAGCTGGAGGAGATGAGATGAGCCAGGTGTGCGTGCGTGAGGAAGAAAGGTAAGGGGAGGGGTGTTGAATCCTGGCAACCATATAGAGTTTTGGTTCAAGAAGTCTACTCATCAACGTAATAAAGAAGTGTTTTGAGACGTCTCAAAACACTTCTTCAAATACAGGAATGGGTGTTCAATCCTGGCAACCATATAGAGTTTCACTTCAGGAAGTATGCTCAACAACTAGCAGCTCGCCCATGGACACTCGCCTGGAGACTCTTCCTCACAGTCTGTCTGCACCACCAGCTCCTTGCTTTGAATCAACTAAAACACATGCACACACACACATACACACACTCACATACACACACACACACATAAACACACACATACACACACAAACACATACACACACACACATAAACACACACATACACACACAGACACACACACAGACACACACACACAGACACAGACACAGACACAGACACACACACACACACACACACACACACACACACACACACACACACACACACACACACACAAGCACGGGTGCGCACGCCCACCTGGTGCAGCGAGGCACTGTCAACTTCCGCCTTGAGCCTCTTCCTCAGAGTCTGCACCACCAGCTCCTTCTCCGGCTCATCCCTCAGCCTCTCGCCCAGCAGGTAGAAGCCGTCCTGTGCCAGCTCCTCATATCCCTGCTCAGGCCAGGAAGCAAACAGAGCGACCATGGCAAGAGATGAAATGATTGTACATACTGTGGCCGCCTGAAAAGAAGTTTTCTCCCAGCAGGTAGAAGCCATCCTGTGCCAGCTCCTCATAGCCCTGCTCAAGCCGGGCAGCACAGGAAGCAGAGCAGCCATGGGAAAAGATGAAACGTGTCTACACTCTAGGGACGCCTCAGTTGAAGTTTCTCGCCCAGCAGGAAGAGGCCATCCGTGCAACCATCTGGTAGCCCTGCTCAGGCGGGCGGGAGAACACAGGGAGCAGAACAGCCATTGTTAAAAACGGATAAAGGCAATTTCTTTGAAGTGCCTCAAGCATAGACTCTCGTCCCACAGCCGCAGGTAGCACCTCCCCAGTGCTTGCTTGCTACCTCCTCGTGGCCCCTAGCACAGGCGGTAGAGCACAGGGAGCAGCATCGTAGCCATGGGAAAAGACGAAATGTGTCTACAATCTGCCTGGGGCCTTCCAGTAGGTAAAGCCTGTTCCCTGCCAGGTCCTTGGAGAACCATGCTCAAGCCAGGAAACACGGGAGAGAGAGAATCAAAGGCCAAGGACAGTGTACCCTGTTCGAACCAACCAGCAATCGCATCCACGCTCACAAACCCCTACCACTGCCACACCAACCACTCTCAGCCAAACCCTCCTCCAACAAGAGCCTCCCACAAAGCTGCCAATGGTTGACCACAGACCTCCACCACAGCTGACCACACTCCTCTTGTGCCAACCCGGACGCTGAGGCATGCCTACTCATGCCACCTGCACTGCATTCCCCTTCCCTTCCCTCCCACGGTGCTGCTCACTCACGTGTGCATGGCGGTTGGCCCATCGGAAGAGGTCTCTTGGCGTGATGAACCCGTGCTTGCCTGCAAACACAGCTGATGACTGCCGGTGCCGCTGCAAGTCTTTCATCACCTCCACCATCTTCGCTGCATAGCTGCGGTGCATAGGGGTGCAGAGTGGTGGAGGACGGACAGATGTACCGAGACGGGGTGGTCGAGGGAGGATGATTGGGTTGGGTTGGGTGTTGCACAGTGGAATTGAGGTCTCTGAAGGAGTTTTGAGACGTCTCATCTCTGAAGGAGAGAATGGCTGGGGAGTGCATGGATGGATGGACGACTGCGTGTGGGACTGCCAGGTTCCTGACGACGAGCATCGCCTGCTTGAGCCCTTGGCCCACAGCCTGCTACCCGCCTGCCTGCCTGCCTGCCTGCCACACACACGCACGCACGCACGCGCACACGCACGTACGCACCTAGGGATGAGCAAGGTGGCGAACACCTGTTCGGTTCGCCTCGAACGTGTTCGAGGCGAACCGAACAGGTTTTGTTTTTTAGCTCAAATCGTTCGCCGAACAGTGTTCGGTGTTCGCCCGAACACGTTCGTGTTCGGGCCGCTGCTGAAATTTGCCCGCGACGAACACGAACAGTGTTCGAGGTTCGCCCGAACACGCCTCCACAGGCGAACAGAGAACACCTGTTTTTTCCTAAACTGTTCGCCAAACCGAACAGTGTTCGGTTCGGCAAAAGAGGGTGTTCGACAAGGGGCGAAGACGAACATGTTCGTGTTCGCCCTTTGCTCATCCCTATACGCACCTGGCGGGGATGAGGCAGCGCCTCTCAACAATTAGAGCAAGCTCGTTGTGCGGAATGTCATCCACATGGAGCTCCAGGAAGCGGTTGCGAAATGCCCGGGACAGCACCTGAGCGGCGCATGGGGAGGGTGTAGGGTAGAGGTGGGGAGGAGTGGAATGGAGGGGATGGAGAGGAAAAGGTCGTCCACGTGCCGGCGCTCCTAAGGAAGAGAAGGGGGAATTGTATGAGACAGGAGAAGGAGGAGAGTGCATGACAAAATGATGGGTGCAAATAGAGGGAAGCAACACGTCTGGATTCTCTTTTGGCGCCTCAAAACATAACCTCTTTACTCTTGGAGGTATCAACAAACCTTAAGCTGCCTGCAACACCTATGGCAGCTTCCATTTTGCAGCCTGCCCATTCAATAATAAAATCATAGCCAAGCTCTGTCACTCCGTCCGTCCCATAGCCACCTTACCATTCTTAAAGCCCTCTATCAATCAACCCATCCCCCAGTGTCCCCAACACACCTTGCGACCTCCGTAGAGGCCTGGAGGGTTCTGAGTGGCGAAGAGCATGAAGTGCGGATGCGGCGATACTGTCTCCTGCTCACACAAGGGGGGGCCCATGGGAGGGAGGCGTGGGCAGGCAGAAGGACACGTCATGGGGTCAGACGGATGGTAAAGGGAGGGGAGAGAGGACGGAAAGAGGGAGTGGTGAACAGGACATGCAAGGCGAGACAAGGAGAGACACACGAATGACACGCAGGAAGGAATTACAAACACGCCACGACGACATGATAAACGACCACAGCAGCTTTTTCCTCACCAGTACAGTACCTCACAGCCCTGTGCTTTCAGGCATATCTGAACCGAACCTGAACCGAACCTAAACCGAAGCACATCACACACCTGCAGCTCGGGCACAAAGAGCTGGCGGTTGTCGTCCAGCAGGCGATTGAGTGCCTCCAACACGTCGGATGGTGCCTGCAGCCAGAGGGGTAAGGGGGAAGACGGAGGGGAAGGAGGAGGAGGAGGAGGAGGAGGAGGAGGAGGAGGAGGAGGAGGAGGGGGGGGAGGAGGGGGGGGGAGGAGGGGGAGGAGGAGGGGGAGGAGGAGGGGGAGGAGGAGGGGGGGGAGGAGGGGGAGCGGGAGGGGGAGGAGGGGGGGGGAGGAGGGGGGGAGGAGGGGGGGGGAGGAGGGGGGAGAGGAGGGGGAGGAGGAGGGGGGGAGGAGGGGGAGGGGGAGGGGGAGGAGGGGGGATTGGGAGATATACAGCAGAGAACGGGGATAAGGCAAGGAAATTGGCAGGAGATAGCAGAGGCAGCGTGAACATACAGCACCACCAATCACCGGCCTGACAGGCCCGCCCGCAGCGCAGGACCATAGAGTGCCTTATGTTCCTTTTGAAAAGTATCAAAAGTAAGGAACGCATGCGACGCACCAGGTTGAGCTCATCGAGAACTATCCAGTGGCCCCTTCTCACTGCCTGCACCAACGGGCCTTCCTGTAAAGGTCACGGCACCAGGAGAAGGAAGACGAACACCGGGCGGTGTTGAGAAATTGTTGATAATTGGAGCCGGGATGCCAGAGAGGAGCAAGATGAGCAGAGGGTGGGGCTCCGTCAGAGTTCAGTTGTTTAAATGCAGAGCAGAATATGGAGCACCGAAGGAGAAGCAGCAGGCTATATGCACCAGAGTCAGTGTGTGCATATGAACCTAGAACTAGTGGCCGGGACGTATGGCGCACACATTGCCATGCATGCATGCACGCAGACATTGCGCTCGCACCCACACGCACACATACACACACACACACACACATACACACACACACACACACCTGGAACTTGAGGCGGCCAGACTTGTCTGTGATGTATGTGCCTAGGTACTCCTGTGGGAGAACAGGGAGGGGGACAGGTAGAGGAGTGGAGGAATGGAGCAGAGAGGAAGGGACAAATTGGACATGAGAGGAGGAGATGAACAAAAGTGGCTGAAGGTGCAAAGACAAGAGTTTGCTTCACAGATCAATAAGTGACACACACAGGCAGGTGACAGTGTTCTGCGTGAGGAGGGGCAGCAGCAGAACGAGGAGCTGGCACCAGCAACACAGCGAGTGGAGGGGCAGGTGAAGAAAAAGGAGGAGCAGGTGGAGCGAAAGATTATACCTTTCAGGCTGGTGCTCCTTTCACTCCACCTGCTCCTCCTTTTTCTTCACCAGCTCCTCCGCTCGCTGCGTTGCTGGTGCCAGCCCCTCGTTCCGCTGGTGCCCCTCCTCGTGCAGAGCGCTGTCACCTACTTGTGCTTCTTTCCCTTTTCCCACGCCACCTCATACATGCAACAACCTTAGTCACTGTGCGCACTCACACACTAGCGCACGAACCTGCAAATCCGTGTGCTCGTGGTTGACTTTTGAGTCGACTCAAAAGTCACCTTGCTCACTCACACACTAGCCCACGAACCTGCAGGTCTGTGTGCTCGTGGTTGCTGATGCGCACAAAGCGGTGGCCCGTGCGCTTAGCTAAGTACTCCACTAGACTGGTCTTGCCACTGGATGTGGGGCCCTGGCAGGTGGGAGGAGGACGGGCGCAGCGAGGGGAAATAGTTGAGTTGAGTATGGAGCCAGGTGACAGGTGATGATAGATGGGAATGAAATGTGGAACAAGAATTGTTGAGTTTACCTTGTGTGCAAGGGATCACACAATAGGATATGCCTTCCTAGAGAGTGATACACTGCACGAAAACAGACTGACACGAGAGGTGAAAACCCATGCCCACCCATGCACACCCATGCATACCCATGCATCCCCATGCCCACCCATGCCCACCCATGCACACCCATGCATCCCCATGCCCACCCATGCCCACCCATGCACACCCATGCCCACCCATGCCCACCCATGCACACCCATGCATCCCCATGCCCACCCATGGCCACCCATGCACACCCATGCCTATCCATACCCATCTATGCACGCCACTCGCCCCCTGGCTAACCTGCAGCAGGATGGGGTACTTGTGCACAAGAAGATCATGTGCCAAGCTCTTTTGAGGCGCCGCACAAGAAGATCATGTGCCAAGCTCTTTTGAGGTGCCGCACAAGAAGATCATGTGCCAAGCTCTTCAAGTGGGTGGGCCCTCACACTCATCATAACACACACTTATCATCATGCATACTCATGCACACCCAGCGACTCTTCTGCCTGACCTGCAGCAGGATGGGGTACTTGCGAACGAGCACAGCACGCGCCAAGTTCTTCAAGTGCGCCCTCACACTCGGCGTCGACACAAACTCCTCCGCCCTCACCCTCCCTTCCGCCGCCGCCTCTCCACTCTCTGTCTCCATCGCCCCTGCACCAGCACCAGCAGCAGCACCAGCAGTACCAGCAGCACCACTCGCACCACCAGCACCACCATTCATCTTCTCACCCTTCTTCCCTGCACCAGCACTCGACCCCCCCTCACTCCCCTGCCCCTCCTCCTCGTCCTCATCCCCGCCCTTCTCCGGCCCTCGTTCCACCCAGAACTGCTCAAACAGCTCGTACTTGCCGCCCGGTCTGGGCGGCGCTCTAAGTAAGACTTTTAGTGGCGGCGCAGACTTGAGGAGGTGGCGGTGGATCAAGGCCTCCATGGTGGGCGCACAGGTGCGCTGAGTTGTGGGGAAGATTGCAGAGAGGGGGGGGGAGGAGGGACGGGTTAGGGAGAGAGGGGGAAAGGGGGGAAGAAGAGCGGGAGAAAGGGGGAGGTTGAGAGAGGGCGCCGGAAGAAAAAAGGGGAGGGGAGGGAGGAGGGAGGGAGGATAAGCAAGGGAGGAGGGGGAAGAAAGGTAGATATTAAGACTAGCGGCGGTGGTTAGGAAGGCGCACAGGTGGGCAACCATCTCATCCAACCAGTGTCAAAGAACCCCAGTCCCCCAGTCCCCCAGTCCCCCAATCCCCCAGTCCCCCAGTTCCCCAGTCCCCCAGTCCCCCAATCCCCCAGTCCCCCAGTTCCCCAGTTCCCCAAACCCCCAATCCCTCAAAACCCCAGTCCCCCAGTCCCCAGATACCTCACTTCCCAGTCCCTCACTGCCCCCGGTCCCTCCACTCCCCCGATCCCCAGCCCCCCACCCGTCCTCACATCCAGCAGGGTGAGGGAGCACATGGCGGCGGCGTTGTAGAGCGAGCGGTGGAAGCCGTAGAGGGGCAGAGCCACACGCACGTACTCCAATCACCCCGTCACCCAGTCACCCGATCCCCCACTTACCTCGTCCCCCCACCCCCCAGTCTCCCAGTACCCCATCCCCCGGTTTCCACAAGCCCCAGTGCCCCCGTCCCCAAACCCCCCAGTCCCCCACCCACTCCTCACATCGAGCAGGGTGAGGAAGCACATGGCGGCGCCATCGTAGAGCGAGCGGTGGAAGCCGTAGAGGGGCAGAGCCACGCGCACGTACTCCAGCGCGCGCGCCAGAGTGCGCAGCGTATACTGCGGCCGCTGGTTCGCCCCGTCAAACAGCGACACCTGGCATGTGGGGAACAGGGCAGGCGGTGCGGTAGCGTGGGGTGGGGTGGATTGTGAAATATGGGGTGTTAGCTAATGTGGGAGAGAGAGAAGAGAAGCATGTGAGGAGTGACAACAAACTTGCATGTGCAGTCCATCGCTCCACTGAGAAGAGCATTCTTCACACATGCTCATGCCAGCGCCACTGATCACTGAAAAATGCGTGCACGCCCCTCACCAAACGAGCATTGAGCACAGGGAAACGGAAATTTGCACTGCACGTCCCCCTCGACCACAGCATCCTCTCGGCATCTTGACAGCTCACTCTGGAACAATGGAATACGCATCCTTTTCAGCAGGGACGAGCGTGCACCACCCTCACTCCCTCTCCCTCTCTCACTCGCCTTCCCTCCCTGCAAAACTCTTTCTCTCCCTCCTTCCCTCTCTTTCTCCCCCCGTACCTCGGCCTCCTGTCTAGCAGCCAGGTAGAAGTCAACTATGTCGTCCACAGGGGGGGACGGCAGCAGGCCCTCACTTGCCTCTTGTATCCTACAGCATGAACAAGGTGCAACCCCCCTTCCCCCCTCCTTCCCTCTCCTTCTCCCTCCCACAGTACCTCGGCCTCCTGTCTGGCAGCCAGGTAGAAGTCAACTATGTCGTCCACAGGAGGGGACGGCAGCAGGCCCTCCAGATACTGCCAGGGGGAGGGGAAAGGGGCACAAGGGGGAAGGGCAGGAAAGGGAAGTGCAGGGTGGATGGGTGGGGGGGGGGAGGAGGAGGGGGTAGGGTGAAGCCGAACCAGCCCATGATCTCAACAGCTGTGAACCCCGAGCAGATGACTTATACGAGTTCTCACAAAACCATCCATCTCTCATCACCGCACTGCATCCCCAGGCACCCACCTTGAAGACAATAATGCCCAGCTCCTGGCGGCTGGTGATCTCGTCCACAAACAGCTCTGTGAAGCGCGAGCGGATGGCGGGTGGCAGGTCCCTCTTGCCCACGTCCGTGGCTGGATTCATTGCTGCAAACAGACGAAAGTCTGGGTGCCGGGGAACCTGGCAGATACAGGGTGACAGAGGGTTTGGAGGTATTTGGAGGGGTTCTGAGGAGGTTCGAAAAAAAATTGGTTCAGAGTGGTTTCAGAGTGTTGAAAGAGGCCTCAAACGGATTTGAGAAGGGCAAGGGTGGGTGAGAGAAGAGGGTTGAATAAGAAAAGACAGCCCGGCCAGCATCCTGCAGGAAAACACAAAAGTCTCTCAACACCTCACACTCCCAGAAAAGCACGCAGCACACTCCTGGAACACCACCAGCGACAATGCCATGCCGCCACATGCAGAGTCAAAACAGCCCCTCCCGCACGGTGACGTACCGCTTCAATATCCCCTCGCTCGGTGATCGCAAGCGACCCTGCATCCCCCTCCAGCACGCCGCTCAGCCGCTCCAGCGTCTCAGGCGGGGCGAGGTTGATTTCATCCATGAGCAGCCAGTGGCCCTCCCTGAGCGCGCGCACCAGCGCGCCCTCCACAAACATGAATGCGAAGGACGCCTCTGCTGCTGCCACCTGGCGTTCCGCACGTGCAAGGTCTGTTGAGAAGCGCGCCCATGCTTGCGCCAGCTGAGAGGGGGGGAGAGAGGGGGGGGGATGGAGAGGGAGGGGACGGGGAGGGAATGGGAGGGGAAGGAGAGGGGAATGGGAGGGAGAAGGGGTGGAGAAGAAGGGAGGGAGTGAAGAAGGGAAGGGAGGGAAGAAGGTGAAGGTTGATTTCGTCCATGAGCAGCCAGTGGCCCTCCCTGAGCGCGCGCACCAGCGCGCCCTCCACAAACATGAACGCGGATGAGGCTTCTGCTGCTGCTACCTGCCGCTCTGCCCGCGCTAGGTCTGTTGAGAAGAGCGCCCACGCTTGCGCCAGCTGGGGGGGAAAGGGGGCGGGGGAGGGGGGAGGGGGGAGGGGAGGAGGGGAAAAGAGGAGGGGGAGAGGGAGGAGGTGAAGGGAGTGAGAGGGGGTGGTGGGAGTGCAAGCGGTGATGCGGATGAAGGGTGATAGGGGTGTGTGATACTGATTCAGAACCCCTCTGCACCATCGGGTGCCCAGCACACAGCTGGAGATCCGTGCAGTGCAGTGCAGTGCACACAGCTGTGTGATGGGGACGAAGGGTGATGTGGTGACGATCCGATGTGTGCATCCATGCACACAGCTTGACAGCATGGGAAGACCACCCTGGGCGAATTGGGAAGCGAACGAAGTGAAATTTCTCATTTTCCCCTGGGACCAACAAACAGTCCCCCGACAGCCTTCCTCCTCTTGCCCATTCCCCTCCATTCATCCCCACTTCCACACACACACACGCACACACACACACACACAAACACCCACACACACACACACACACACACACACACACACACACACACACACCTCGCCATCGAGCCTCTTGGTCCTCTTGGCACTGCGCTCCAGCTTCCCTGACTCCGAACCACCACCAACATCACCACTCCCGCTGCCAGTAGCACCACCAGCAGCACTGTCCGCACCAGAAGCAGCAGCAGTACCAGCAGCCGCAGCAGGAGAAGGAGCAGCGGTGGAGGCAGGTGCACGAGCGTCCGTGTGAGCAGCAGGGGACGCTGGGGGGGCGAGCAGGTGAGCGACCTTGAGAGCGGTGGAGCGGAAGGCAGAGAGCAGCAGCGGCCACTTGCCCTTGGCTGCCAGTCGACTGAGCCGCAGCAGGAACTCCGCATTGCACTGACGAGGGTGGGGGAGATGAAAGAGGGGAGAGGGAAAGGAAGGAGGTGGAGGAAGGGAAGAGGGGGAGTGTGAGCGAGGAGGTGACAGGGAAAAGTGGGGCAGGAAGGAGGGTATAAGGGCAGGCGGAAGCAAGAATAAAGGGGGGTTGGATGGACGAACTAGCAGTGCCATGTCATGCACATGCGAAAAGGCAGGGTGGAGGGTAGGGTAGGGTAGGGGGTTGGCGGAAAGCAAGTGCTGGAAGAATATGGTTACACTTAAGACGAAAAGGGAGGCAAGCAAGAGAAGGTCGCACGAGACTGTTCTGTTCTGTTCATGCATGGCAGTGCGATTTCATTGCAGTGCACCAGTGCATGGCAGTGCAACAGTGAAGTGTACGCATAGCAGTGCAGTGGGAGGGAGCGCACCTGGGAGGGGAAGGTGTTGGAGAAGAGCGAGGTGAAGGAGTGGTAGAGTGCCAGGCACACCACACGCTGCTCCACGGGCTTGAAACCCCCCAGGAAGTCCGCACTGTCACTGTGCTGACTCATGTTCTGATGGCGGGGAGGGTCACGGGCAGGGAGAGAGGGCAATGGAGAAACGTGGTGTGTGAGACGATGGGATGGGATGAGAGGCATGAGAGGGTATGAGAGGAAAAATGCACGTAAACGTGCGAAAGGTCGGTCAGGAGAAAAAAGGTCCTCCTCTCAAGAGAAGCATCAATGGGCAGATGGCGAGGAGGGAGAACAGGGAACGCCGCAACAGGATGCATGACATTACAACATAAGTCAGTAGTCCTGTAGAATGCTTGATGGGGAAAAACAACACACACTCCTCCCCAGACAAAGGCACGGCCAAAATCCACTGCAACCAAACTCAGGCTGCAGATATCAAACAATCCAGTCTGGCGCAGCGGCCACAGTTCTCCACTCTTCCAGCCACCCCGAGAGTGCCGCTCGCTCAGTCACCTTTTGAACCGTCATTGATGCATCGGGGTGGCTTGTGAGAGAATCAGTCAGACATTTCACAACTCACGATGACGGAGATGCCTCGGCCTGCCATGCGAGCCAGGTGCTGCACGGTGGTGGTTTTCCCTGTGCCCGTCTCCCCCACCAGCAGCACGGGCTCGCGCTGCCCCACACACACCGCCACGCGCTCCATCAGCCGCAGCACCGCCCCTGTCGCTGCAAACGCCATGCTGTTCCCCTCGCTGCTGTCATTAGCCTGGAGGAGAGAAGGATGAAGAGAGCGAGAAAGAGCCATGTTATTGCAAGAAATCAAGACTTGTATGTACACACACACATGCCCAATAGAGTGAGCCAGTGAGCAGGACGATGTTCATGCATGCAGTGCAGTTGGGCGGACAGGTGCTGATGTTGCAAACTGATACAGCCCAGCCACGTGCCAGACCTGATTAGAGTTCAGGGCTCTAGGTCGTACCTGGTGCAGGCGCAGAGGAATGAGAGCCCTGCCCACTCGAAGCTCCAAGGAGGAAGCCTGAGAACAGGGAAGAAGTGAGGAAGGGAAAGAAGGGAATGAAGGAGGGAAGGAGAGGCAGCGTTTGGCTGCACTGGGCACCTGCGGTCCGTTTAACTTGATCCATGCATAGTTGGTGATTGCACCACAACTAGTCTTTCTCTTTTCTAACACAGGCATATGTTTCAACAGAACTAGAAAGGGAAAAGCAAGTGCACCACATGCGTGTATGACGGGTTGGGTGGGTGCAAGTGGCTCATGCATGCACGGTGGGCTGATACAGCGAGTGAACTTTTAAGTGATTCAACTCAAAAGTCAACTCGCTTGAGTCCACATGTACCATACGTACATGCACGGTGGGCTGGTACAGCGAGTGCAGCTGCAGTGCATAGTCAGTGGGTAGGCCACAGAGCAGGGCGAGATGTGCCATGAGCGCACAGCGCTGCTCTGCACTCGCAACACACGCCACCAGGCAATCCACCACCTGAACGAACCAAGGGGACAGCAATGGGAGGGAGTGACCGAAGAAAGGGAAGGAGGAGAAAGAACGAGGAGAGAGGGAAAGAGGGGAGAGAATGATGAAGCTATGACAAGCCTTGACGATTGGCGGGTAAGGTGACATTGGATCGAACCAGACTTGAGACTGAGACGTGTTGAGTTGGCGCTGGCCTTCCATCCATTGCATGAATGCACTCCCTGCACCTACCTGCACCGACCTGAACTCACCTGAACCTAGATGCACCTCAAAGTAGATGCGCTCGCGCACAGCGAGTCAAAGTGTCATTGTGTTTTGAGACGATTTAAACGAGACGAGAGAGATTGAGAGAGGGAGCTGACCTCAAAGTAAATACGCTCGCGAACAGTGAGTGGGAGGGTCATTGTGGGCGTGGGTTGAGTGGGGATGGAGGTGGGGAGTGGCAGGGAGTGCAGACGGAGAGCTATCTTCATGGTGTCCCTGCAGGAGTGGGAGGCACAGCGAGAGAGAAAGGGGAGTAGGGGCAGATGGTGTTGGGATTAGCCGGGGTTAGGGCAGTGTTGAGGGAGGAGGGGAAGGCGGGGTGAGGAGCGGAAAGGGAGGGGACCAGAGGAGTGCAGTGACTGATTGATCTTCATTGTGTGTCTGGCCCTTCCACGGTCCGTGATTAGGAAGCCAGATTGCCATGGGAAACGAAGAACCAAGAGGCACCTGGGACTTGGCTTGTTGCAAAAAGGTAATTGACAGGATACTCTAAAAAGCACCAAGTGTGAGTGTGAGTGTGAGTGTGAGTGTGAGTGTGATCCACCCACGATCTGACTGATGGCCCGACTGACATCATGACATCGGCCCGTTCCTGTTCACCCCAACAATCCTGAATGTAACCTGGCGAAACACCTGACGAGGAGCACTGCGCACCTGAGAGAAACCTGGCGGCTGTATCGGACGGATATTCCTCCTGACGTGACAGCGTCAGCAACAGATGCTGCCAGCTGCTGCTGGTGCTGTTGGTGCTGGAGGAGGGACGAGGACAGAGGCATGCCGGATGCTACCCTCCCTACGGCTTCAACCAGGTCTGACCAGAGCAGGGGGTGATCATTGGGGCGATGAAGGGAGGGTGGGGGGAGGTGAGGAAAAGGAGGGACGCGGGCGAGACACGTGGGGGATTGGGGCGGGGTCACTACAACAAAGAACGAAGGGAAACAAAAAACGGAACATGACAACCAAGAACAGAAACGAACGGAGGAGAAATAATGGGGAGAGTGGAAATGTATGAAAGAGAATGGGACGTACCAAGGAGAGTGGGGGCGAGGGCGGAGAGCGAGGGAAAGGAGGAGGTGAGAATGGTGGGCAGCTCAGAGGCGTGTGGTGGGTGGATGTGCACTGTGTGGAAGTGAGACGCCAGTAGCGAGTCCACTGGGGGGTGGGGAGGTGGGGGGAATGGGTGTAGGGGAAAAGAGCACAGCATAAGGGGAAGAGGTCAGCGGCGTGTGGCGGGTGGATGTGCACGGTTTGGAAGTGAGAGGCCAGCAGCGAATCCACTGAAGGTGGGGAGAAGAGGGGAACAGAGCACAGCACAACGGAAGAACGCAGACGCGGGGCATGGGGTAACAAGTAGAGAAGGGGAGGGGGGAAGAGAGGAAAAAAAGGAGGGAGGGGGAGGGGGGGGCGTTGGTGGTGAGGGGGTGGGATGTGCACGGTATGGAAGTGGGACGCCACAGCAAGTCCAGTAGGATCGTGGTGTGGAAGGTAGTGTATTTTGCAGCACTGACGTCGCACAAGGAAAGGAGGGTGGTTGCATCTCCAGCAGGAGCAGTGGTAGCAACAGCAACAGCAACAGCAACAGCAGCAGCAGCAGCAGCAGCAGAAGCAGCAGCAGCAGCAGCAGCAGCAGCAGCAGCAGCAGCAGCAGCAGCAGCAGCAGCAGCAGCAGCAGCAGCAGCAGCAGCAGCAGCAGCAGCAGCAGCAGCAGCAGCAGCAGCAGCAGCAGCAGCAGCAGCAGCAGCAGCAGCAGGACTCGCTCACGTGACTGACTCACCCCCAGACGCCGCTGATGAGCGCAAGGACGAGGACGCAGCAACGGCCTTGGTGGCAAAGATTTGAAAGCCGTCCGCGGCTTGCAGGGGCTGTTGGGGAGTGAGAGGGAGGGAAACAATGGCGAGAAGTTGGGCAGTGAGGAACAGTGCGGTGCAGTGCGGTGGGTGCACGCACGCAGGGGCCGGGGGTGTATGGGCAATGCCAAAACGAAACACTTTACAGGAAGCAGTTTCTTCCTAAAGCGATGGCAGGCACACTTTTATGTGGGCTGGGTGGGGCAAAGGTTTATTACTGGCCTCCAGTTCGCCAGGGGTTTTTCCTTCCTTCAAATGTGACCAATCTTTATTTTCTTTTCCGCCAAGGCGATTCTACTTTGCCCAAAACCAGCATGTTTGAGCGTGCCTGCTTGGCATGGCGAGACCAGGAGGAGAGGCGTACCTGCGAGTGACCAGGCAGGTGCAGGCAGCGGTCCTGCAGCAGTGGCAGCAGCGAGGACAGCAGGTCGAACGGTGCCCCTGAGATGTTCTCCAATAGCACCCACAGGCCCCGTGCTGCTGCCTGTTGAGTTGAGCGGGAGGGGTGGTGTGGGAGTGGGGAAGGGGAAGGGGAGGAAGGCGGAGGGCAGAAGAGGGTATTTAGTAGTCGTGGCACCTCAACAACAGCAGCAGCAGCAGCAGCAGCAGCAGTGAAGACGGCAGGCTGAAAGGTTCCCCTGAGGTGCCTCGCGCTGCTGGTTTTGAACAGAGATGCTCTCCATATGCACCCACATGACCCGGTGCTGCTGCTTGGGAGAAAGGGACGAGGGGGGTGCCTAGGTTGGGGGACGTGAAGGTAGGGGGAGGGAGTTGAGGAGGAGGGAGGGAAGTGAGTGGGAGAGAAGGGAAGCCAAAAGATGGGTGTTGAAATGGAAGGAGAGTGGGACTAGCAAAGGTGAGTTTCTCAAGCAAAATTGGATATCTTCTGAGCGAAGAACGGAGAGGAGAGACGGCGATGAACGGCCAAAAGGTATTGCTGAAGAAGAGAAGAGGGGGGATAGGGAGGGAGGGGTAGTGGAGAGGGAAAAGAAACAGACCACGCATGGGGGAAACAAAACGACAGTAAAAAGAGAAAACTAGGATGGCGATCAGTCTATTCACATTAATCAGTAAGGATTGCAATCTGCTGGTTCCAGTTTTCGGTTAAACGTACATTCCTGTACACTCATCCGATTGGCTGGCACAAGAAGTGCCTTGTAAAAAAAGGGCGGGTCGAAGAGGACAAGTCTAAACCACAAAACAAAACAAAACTATGAATTAGGTGAAAGATACAAGGTACAGGACAAAGGAACGCGGAAGGCCCGTGCAGGAGAGAAGAAAGGCAAGGCATTGAGTCAGGGAGTAAGGAGAGCGTACAAGCGTGAGGACCCCAGGGCGCCACTCGAACTCCCCAGGGACGTCCGTGCACACGTAGGAGCCGAGCAGCGTCTTGCCGTCCATCTGATCGTCCATGTGCACTCGCACCATGTCTGTGGGCGGGACGAGTTGGGGAAGTGGGGAGAGGGGGGAAGAGGGGGAAAGAGGGGGGAAGCCGGGGCAGAGGAAGCTTTTGAGACTTTTCGAAGGTGTGTTGCCGTCCATCTGATCGTCCATGTGCACTCGCACCATGTCTGTGGACAGGCGCAAGGGGACGAGGGAAGATTGCCAAGAGAGAGAAGGTGAAAGAGGGAGTTTGGGAGAGAAGGAGAGAGGGAAAGGAGAAGACAAAGGTATGAACAGGATTCACCTACCTTCGACAAGTCTGCAAGGCCGGCAGCGAATCAGAGGCCTGTGCGAGGAACAATAGCCAAATCTCTACCAGCCACATGAGCACCACCCCCACCACCCACCCACACCCACACACCACAGCTACACTCACCAACCATCCGAACCGCCAACCACCACCCCACCATCCCCGAACCCCACCAGCATCCTCGCCCCCACCCACAACGCGCACCATAATTCCGAGTGCAGTGGGCAAGAAAGTCCACGAGAGCCGTCTTGCCACTGCCCACGGGCCCTGCGAGCAGCAGCGGCTGGTGCTGGCACAGCGAGAGCACGAGCGACTGCAGGTTGCTGCGCGCCGTGGCTGTTCCCACCAGACGTGGAGAAGCTAGTGGGGAGGACGATGCGGTTCTGAGAGAGTGGGGGAGATGGAAGTGGGGAAGAGGGGGAGACGGGGGTAGGATAGTGGGATGAACGGGGATAAGGGAGGATGCGGGGGGGCGACTGGAGGTTGCTGCGCGCCATGGCTGTTCCCACAAGGCGAAGCCAGACAGGAGGATGATGCTGTTCTGAGAGAGTGGGTGAGATGGAAGAACGGGTTTTGGCCAGGGTGGGTGGTGCTTGGTGGTTGGACAGAGGTGGATGAGGGAGGGTGAGGGAGGAGTGCGGCGAGGGTGAATGCATTGTGGAGCGTGGGATTCTCATAGAGGGGGGAAAAGGATGGGGATACAAAGAGGAGAAGGGAGAGGGGTAGGAGGAGGGAAAGGGAGGGGGGGGGGAAGGGGAAAAGCGCAAGAGGTGGGGCAGAGGTGGCTTCAATCAAACCCCTAGTGTGACAACTCTGTGGTTCCAGGAAATCCGCCACACAACTTCTCATAGACAACTCAATCTCTCACTCGCTCATTCATACAGTCACTTCACACACTCATTCACTCACCTGCCAACAGGGCGCTGAGGCAGGTCCACTCCAAGCACAGCAACCGTGTTGAACCGCGACGTGCTACTGGCCGTCAGCACTCCCGCTCCCCCTCCCCCTCCTCCACTCGCCCCCTCTCCCTCACCCCTGCCGCCGCCCCCGTCAAAGGAGAAACCAGCACCCGAGGTGGTCAGCACAGGGGCTTGAAGCGGTGAAAGCGGGGAGGGAGAAGCAGAGGCACCGCTGGGATCAGTGGCTGGTGTGGCAGAGGCATCGGTATTGCTGATGGTGGCTTGCAGTGAGGCGGATTGGAGAGGTGAGAGCAGGAACATGGGCGCCCGCTCCGCCTCCACATGTGTGGCCAGCTGACGCCATCTGGCGAGGGGAAGGTATGAATGGGGGAGAGGTGAGGGAGTCTGTTTATTAAGCGCCTCAGATGGCTGGAGATTGGAGAGGGGAAAGCAGGAACATGGGCGCCCGCTCTGCCTCCACATGTGTGGCCAGCTGACGCCATCTGGCGAGGGGAAGGTATGAATGGGGGAGAGGTGAGGGAGTCTGTTTATTAAGCGCCTCAGATGGCTGGAGATTGGAGAGGGGAAAGCAGGAACATGGGCGCCCGCTCTGCCTCCACATGTGTGGCCAGCTGACGCCAGCTGGAGAGACAAGGGGACGAGGGAGGAGAGATGAGGGAGAGGGGTTGAGTTGAGGAAGAAGCAGGGGAACAGCGTGGAATGGGGGAAAGAGAAGGCAGTGCACGGATGCACGGGAATCGGGATGGATGGACCGCACACAGAGGCCACACTGCCACAGGTCGCAGGGCCAAGCAGGGGGGCAAACGCATGCGGTGAGAGAGAGAACACAAGGCTTGCGTGTCCTGCATGCACACACGCCCATGCGCCCTGTACTCCACGCACACACGCCCATGCGCCCTGTCCTGCAAGCAGAGCAGGGCCCACGCCACAGGACAACTTTTGGGACGTCTGCGCCCTGCACGCAGAGCAGGGCCCACGCCACAGGACAACTTTTGGGACGTCTGCGCCCTGCACGCAGAGCAGGGCCCACGCCACAGGACAACTTTTGGGACGTCTGCGCCCTGCACGCAGAGCAGGGCCCACGCCACAGGGCATGTGGTTGGTCGGGCTTACCGGAAATGAAAGTGAGCGCGGTGTGTGGCGGTGAGAGCACACAAAGTGGAGCCCACACGAGTGCGCGTGGCCTCGTCAAACGATAGCACCAAAGACACTATCTCCAGTGCCACCCACCGCACCTCCTCCCACTCCTCCTCGCCCCGCCTCCCCACCTCTTCCTCCGTTTCCTCCGATCGGGTGGATTTATGGGGGGAGGTGGATGTGGGCAGGAGGAGGGGAAAGAGAGGCGACCAGTCCCAGAGGGAGGCGAAGGTGGGGAGGGAGGTGAGGAGGAGGCGGAGGGACGTGCGGAGGGGGGGCAGCAAAGCAGAGGGATCCTGTGAGGGAGAAAGCGGGTGGGAAGGAAGGGATTTGTGAAGCAAGCAAGTGTGAGGGTGCTGAATTTATAAGGGTTGTGCACTCCAAGGAGAAAGAACTATTCCTGAAAGTGACTCAATCTAAATAAACTGAGGCAGCCAACAAAACAAAGACAGAAACATAGTTACGGGGCCATCCCCCCCACTCTGAGCAGCACCAACCAGTCCTTGCATACAGCACCCAACACGACGCCGGCAGTCAACGCTCACCTCAGCACTGGGCCCTTGGTTATCGTCACACAGCAGGAGTCTGAGGAACGGAGGCGGGTGGGCGGCGAAGAACGGCCTGAGGTGGTTCACGCTGTGCGGGGCAATGGCTAGAACGATGCTCAGCGCCTCACACACCGTCTCATACTCCTCCACCCTTCTTTCGCCTCGCCCTTCCCCTTCCTCCTCGTCCTCCCTGCTCTCTGGCCCTTCTGCCCGTGTGCCCCTCCTCTCCCCTGCTTTCACCTGCCGTCTCCGCTTTCCTTCTGATGCACGTTTCCCCTCCCCTGCTTCCCCTTCCCACTCCATTCCATCTGCACCCTCCGAATCCCCCTTCTTTCCTTCCTGTCCCTGGCTTATCTCTCCCTGCTCCTGCTCTTCCTCCTCCTCCTGCTCCTGCTTCCTGTGCTCCGCTTTCCCCTTCTCCCGCGCCCCCTCCCCCGTGCCTCCGCGCCCCTGCTGCCATCGCGCCGTGGCTGCGCGCAGCAGCGGAAGCAGCACGCCGCGGAAGGCGACAGCAACAGCAGCGGCGTAGCGCGGGTTGAGGAGCAGAGGGGCCACGGTGCTCTCTACCTGCCACGTCGTCGTGGGGGTGATGGTGGGCGGGTGGGTGGGTGGATGGGTGGTTGGGTGTGTGGGTGTGGGTGTAGGTGGGTAAGGAGAGAGGGACATACGCAGGAGAATGTCTCGGTCAAAACCTCAGGAGAACCTTTTATAGTGGCAGCCACAATTGACAAGCACAAGCCGCAACTGCAAATGGCAAAACACAAGTGGCAAGCACAGGTGGCAACCACAGGTGGCACTTACAAGTGCCACACACAGCTTAACACAAAACCCTCAACCTCGACTGTAACCACGACCTGTAGAGGCGCAACCAGCAAGAGCCCGTGGACAGACAAGGCAATTACACGCACACCAAGTACGATACGTACGCCTGCTGGCCTCCACACACGGAGGATCAGAATTCCGCCAAAATCGTGACTCGAAAAAAACACTCCTCTAAAAATTCCACATTTTCCAGAAAGGCTGGAGCTCAGCTATTGGCTCGGATAAACCCCAAACCCTGAGCCTCCTGAAACCCTCGTGAGATGGAGGACGGTTGACTGCAAAAGGAAGCGGTACAGTGAAAGCTGAACGAGACTGCAGCCAGGCGCCCGACCAAAAAAACGACTAAACCCTGCCGCAAACTGGGGAGACCTTTGAAGCCTTCTAAGCCCTTAAGACTTTCGAGGCCTTACAGCACCCATTTTCCCACCTCGCTCTCCTACCGAAAAGCTCCTGAACGACTGCTCACGGGGCAAAAAAATTCCCTCTTGGCCAATCCCTTCTAACCTCTGAACTCCTTTCCCCCTCCTTTCCTACTTGTTCCCTCCCGCCTTGCTCTTTCCCACCGACCTTTCGCCATTTCTCCCCTTTCTCCTCCGCTAAGAATATCGAGAATATCACAGCCGTACCACGCACCACAGCCACACGACGCACCTCGTCCCATCGCAAGTGCGTCTTCGCAGCGGCCTGCCGGATCGCGTCCACCGACTGTAGCTCCGGGAATCGCGCAAGCAGCGCTACAGCCGCCCGCATCCACTCACTGCCCTCACCGCCCGTCATCCCCGCCGCGCGCGCACCGCGCGCTCGCCGCGCGTCGCCTTGCAACGGATACGATCCGCAACAGGGTTCTTGCTCGCTGTAGGCCTCAAGGAACAACCAACAAGGTCCAGCAAGGTGCTACCTCTCTTAGTCACTTCAACAATCTACTGGTACACTGCACGGCGTGGCATACAACAAAGTACTTATGACTAATCGAAGTGACTTTTGAGTCGACTCAAAAGTCACAACCAGCAAGGTCGTATCTCCTGGTGCACCGCACGGCGTGGTATACAACGAAGTACTTATGACTTATTGAAGGAATTAACGACGACTCTTCAAACGAACTGGCTGGTATTGCAACCGACCCAAACGAGGTGAAAATATTACACGGTAGATGATAAACGAGCCTTCCTGCCGTGGCGCTGGCCGACGATTCTGCAAGCAGGGGTCGCGTGCTTGGATGTGAATAAACGCGAACGGTCGGGACTCTAACAACTAGCCACTAACTTAGTCACAGAACTGAAGACAGCCATCAAGCCGGCTGTTGGGGGGAATGAAAGGGTTTGCGGTGAAACCCGAAACCCCTGCAAACAACCACCTTGTGTTGGGGGTGATGATGCAGGTGAAGAGGGAAGCCACGTACACACTATACTAACTCGATTATGATTTAAACGGAACGAGCTAAACGAGGATTCTACTAAGAGGGCAAGGGGAACGAATTGAAGGAAAATATCAGTTTCCTTACTCCACAACTCATTCCATCAGTTTCCCCTACTTACTATTAGAGTATGAAGGGAATTGAGTTTAGCATTCATGTAGGTGCAGCAGTATCGCACCCATCACTATCGAAGCAACACTAGCAGCAGTATCGGATCAGCCCGTACCGTATCACCCCGGATAGAAAGGCCGTCCTATTAAAAGCGCCGACGCTTCTATCTGGAGCCATGCGCTTATGGCCGGTCCTCAATTATAAGCGCCCCCCTGAAAAACCTTTACTTATTGTAAGCACACTTACAATATTAATTCGAAATCCTGTTGAAAACGTTTCAAGTTTCATACTTGCAGCGAGTTCAATTTCATTCTCGTTTCGTTTGACTCGCGAAGACCTCACTCGCTTCGCATCAGGGCTGTCGATTCAAGGGCATTTGCCCTTAATACCCTGAACATTCCGGGCGAACTCCCGGCCAGCTTCTGCGTTTCAAAGGGCTGATTTCGAGGGGAGCCCGTTTTTCTTACGGGCTGATTTTGAGAAATTGGGGTATCAACCTTGATCTGTTAAGGGCTGGTCTTGGGCCTTTTCCTGATTTCCCGGATCAGGATACAAGTACCCTTGCGAGTATCCTAAAGTAGCCACTCTACTCCTCCCGCTCTCATCATCCCCCTAGCTTCCACATTCTATCTACTTAGGTATGAAAGATTTTTTTAGTGTTGATGTTATGGCTGTAGTTGCAAAATATTTCTAAGTCCATACACTCCCTCACTGTTCCAAGTACTCACACTAGACTCGCGACACTAACACCCCTGCGTGGCTAAGAGGAACTCAGCCCATCGGTTCACACTATTAGTACTACATGAGAACGAATGTCCTTGGAAGTGCTTTGCGTTTGCACACAAGAATTGAAACGACTTCTTGCTGGCCAAGTTTAGCCCTACGAGGCCCCTCCTCCCCTTCCCCACCCTTCCCCCTGTCAGAATGTTATTGTTATCTAGCCTGTAGTGGGGTACTCTATAGCTAGTACAACCCGTTAGGGTTTGCTATATGTATCCTGCTGCTTTCTAGTGAATCCCCTCTCTTTTTCATTCTAAACTTTACTACCTCTTAACTTTCACATGCTATCAGAGCAGGTCGATCCCCTTGGGTCGATCTTGTGGGTGGGCTCACCACCTCACTGCTTCCGCTGCTATTGCTTCTCTCTGTGTTGCACGCCCCATGGCGTGCAACGGAATTTTCATCCCGCCGCGCGCTCGGAGCGTGCGGCGGTTTTCTGCCCGCCGTGCGCCTCGAGGCGCGCGGCGGGTTTCTGCCCCGTCACTCGACGCGTCGCCCCCGGGAGGCGCTGCGACGGGCGACGGGGACCCACGTGTCGCCCCCCGTCGCCCGTCGTGGCCTGCGCGCGGCCCGTACGGGCTGCGCCAGGCCCGGACGCGGCCCGTACGGGCTGCGCTAGGCCCGCGCACGGCCCGTACGGGCTGCGCCAGGCCAGCGCGCGGCCCGTACGGGCTGTGCCAGGCCCGTGCGCGGCTCGGGCTGCCTGCGCGCGGTTCGGGCGGCTGTGCCAGGCCCGTGGGTGGCCCGTTCTTCGCTGCCCCTGCACTGCCCGCTGTCCCCCGTGCCTCTGATGGCGCCCCACCCCTGCTGCTGCCCGTTCTCCTGCATTAGGGTTTGGGGGTGGAGGGGTATGGGGGTGCAGCTTCTGTGTGCCGTCCCCTGCTCCTTCTCCTCCTCCGTCTCCCAGTGCTGCAGCTGCCGCTGAGGGGGGTGGACCTGTTGGAGCCGTCGGAGTGGTACTAAGGGGGGTGAAGGGGGAGTGGAGCTAGGGGTGAAGCAGGGGGTGTGTGTCAGGGGGGTGGGACTGTTTGGGGAGGTTGAACGGAGGTTGCCGTCCTGTCGCCAGCAGCACCTGTAGTCCAAGGAGTTGCTCCGGTAGCCCAGTCGCAGCTAGCTGTGCCAGTCGCCCGTGGGTCCGTTGCTCGTCAACCGCTACTTTTAGCCGCGGGGCCAGTTACTCCAGTAGTCCGGAGCGTTGTTCCGGTAGCCGCTGTGCCAATGTGACTCCTGTTGCCCGTGTGTCTGCAGCTTCAGCCGTCGCCTCCTATCTCCTCTCCTCTCACAGTCCCTCCTCCTCCTCACTTGCCCGTTGTGACTACCACTAGCTTTGCTCATAATTGTGAACTTTAAACTGTTGCTTCTTGTACTTGTGCTCAGAATGTGTGGTGACATTGTGATCCACCCTGAGCTTGTTCTGCTTTGCTCGCTCTGCTGATTACACCCCACTTTGGCTATGGGGGTGTGTCAGAATGTTATTGTTCTCTAGCCTGTAGTGGGGTACTCTATAGCGAGCACAACCCCTTAGGGTTTGCTATATGTATCCTGCTGCTTTCTAGTGAATCCCCTCTCTTCTTCATTCTAAACTTTACTACCTCTTAACTTTCACACCCCCCCCCCAGCTCTAGGTTTACAGATGAGTTGTTAGCATGCTCCTTCCCACTGCTAAGTAATATTGGAAATCGGCTTTGGGACATTACATTTCTTGAGGAGCCCGGATTTCAAGTTTTGAATTTGACCTGCGCCCGTGATCGTTAAGGGCTAAAAATCGGTCACCTTCGCGAAAATCAGGGCCAAACTGCGAGCAGCTCGGGACTCAAAGTGTTGGCCCCAGGGACTTCGACAGGCCTGCTTCGCATCCAGTCAGTATGAGTTGGCAGAATGTATCTTTGTTGGCAGAGTATCGCTTCCACGCAATTCTGCTTGGTGACTCGGAAAAAAAATGACTCGGTGTACAATTTGGTGCTCTAAAAGTTTTTTTTTGTGATTGTCATTATATAAGAGCATGCGCTTATGCCCTAGACTCAATTACAAGCGCCCCCCCCACCCCCCCCCCCCCCCAAATTTTTTTCTTTTATAAACGGATATGCGATACTATCCGTTGTGATACAGTATCAAGGACAGGAATGTCAACAGTCGCAAAGGTCAACTGTCACCGCTGTTAACCATCTGGACCGATTGACTCACCATCGAAGAATCGCAACAGGCGTAACCGCCTGTACGGTTACACGCAGCGACTGGATAACACGAAGAAGTGCAATAGTCAGAGTCACTGTAGAATTGCCTGTAAATTAGTTAGAATAAGGGAATGTACCCCTTAGAGTACATGACTAGCTATATCTATTTATTGTGTGTAACTTATGCCTTAATTAACTTTGCTATTTACATTTGTAGACATATATGATATAACTTGTGTAGGTTGTAGTGGGAGCTGCCTCTGCAGCCCGTGGGAGCTGCCTCTGCAGCTCGTGCGCCGCCCTAGACCCTGCTCGTCGCGACGCCCCTGCGGGACCCGCGCGGCGCCCCCCCCCCCCCTGCTCGC